TTCTAGAACCGAGCTCATGTCAATTCGAGGTTTATATACTGCCAACTGAGCATCACTTCTCTACAGTAATTGTTGTCTAACGTGGACATGGGATTAGCAGTTGGCAATTTGTTTAACGTAAAGTCACTCCTCCTCCATCCCTCTGAAATAAATGTACATGACACATACCACTTGGTTGGAAAGGCAAACAGGAGGTTAAAGGTGTACTTACCTCATAATTGTTTATACTGTCTTCATGTGCACTTGTGACTCATCGCATAGCAACTGAAATAAGAGCTGATCCGAAGTGCTATGAAAAGAAAGAAGATAGATAGTGTCCGTAATAGATACAAACGCAGTCACACACCCGAATGGTTTAAGCCGTTCTTTTTTTCTGTCTCTCTGCGGTTCCACCAGCTTCCAGGAAGGTAAAATTGACGACACCAATTGAAGTTTCCTTGCGACAGCGACAGATGGAAGCTTTTTTTTATTAGCTTGTATTTAACCTTTTCTTCGAAAGAAAAATCTGTAAAACCAGCTGCGCCTGATTGAATCTTACTTCATGATACTGCTTTTCTTTCAGTATCACAAGTCACTCTCTGTGAACCTATTAAGTTCAAATAAAAGCCATTTCCTCTCCCCCCCCTATTCATTGAAACTTTCCTTTCGAGACTGCCACCTTTTCAGACATTTCAACGTTCATTCACTCCAAAACTCGTGATTTGCCTACCTCCTGATTGACATAAATCTGCAGGTAACTCGTTGTGAATTGGTTGTTCAAACAGTGAAATATCTGGTTTGATTAATCACCTTGAAAGGATGCGAAATGTTGACGTTGAGGTTAAAGATCGACAGTTCTTTTGTGATAACCTAATGACGCTAGACATTGTATCGACTGTAATAATCATGTTATACTTCTAGTGCACTGCAGCTCCCATAAGACTTTTCTCTCGTGATTGTAGTAGGTAGGGTGCACCAAACGATGAAAGTAAGGGATTGCTCGGTAGCGGTGAGGCTTATTCCCAACCGCTCCGTTTGCTACGAATATGTATCGTGGACCTTGAGACTGTCGGTTAGCAAGGCTCTGATTGATTATAATCAAATCCTGATTGAAGGTCATAATCGCGCCGTGATTGTAAAGTGGGTATCACTGTTTGCCATTCAGGAAACGAGCTCTAATTTGTGGAAACCAACCGCGCTCTACGTTTCTCCTGCTTCAAGGATACAGTGTATAAAAGGGCGACCACGACCAAGCAGAAAAGATACGAACGCGAACTACTGCACCAGGGTTTCGGTCTCTGGCTCGTCAACGCAGTGAACGTTTTTTTTGGATTGACGCAACGTTACCCGTCGATTACGTTCACATGGTGAATGCACGGGCTCTAGTAGTATGTACTGTTACTAGTGTTCTTCAGTACAAAAGTAACTGGTCTTAGAGTTCACTAAAATGTTCATATGAAATCGCTTATTTCTTTACACCAATTATCTTAGCTACATACGTAGTCCTTGTGCCTCTAGAGGCAGATGCTATATATTCGGCATTACTAATTATTCTGTAATTAGCCTGTTCATGACTTGTCTCATATTTGCACAGTGTATGAACTGAACCTGTTATTAGGTTACCATTTACTTATTGTTTTTGGTAGTTTTCCCCAGGAAAAAGCTGTCACAGAAATGGATGAGTGATAACGACGGTTTAGAGATCAGTTCAAATGCGACATTTCAGCGATGTCTCATATCCATTCTTCGAGGTGATTATTTTCGGCTTCTGTGAAGGAATGCTTTCTGCAGCGGGTAGGCCGTTTGGAACCAAGAAATGTTTTCTTTGTCCCTCTAAGAATCGCTGATATGAAATTAGTGTTGTATCAACCAGCATGTGATACTAAATATAATGGGTTCGGTTTCAGTATGATAGCATATGCTTAGCCTTCATAGCAGCTAGCATATTTTAGTCAATGTGTCGTTGTGAATCACTGAAGAGAACTGGGTTGGTAGCGTGCTTCGGGGATTAGAAGAGCCGAATTGAAATCTCATGCTCAGTAATTCCCGTTGCTGACTGTTGAGCAAGGAAATGACCTCATATTGCTTCCGCGTATCCAGTTAAAAACAGCTATCAGTTCGTTTACCTTCGAAAAGCAGGGACAGCATATTCCCTGGTGATGTCATGCCAGAGTTTGTGAAGCAAACGGTCATACGATACATGTGCCTTATGGTTGCGTTTGCCTTCATCGACCTGACCTTTTTAAACGCCGCTTTCTTACGTCAGAAACTGTCACGTCATCCAAAACGGGTAGCTTTAGTTATGTATACTTGTAGTTACTACGTTTCTTTATTCAAATTGTTGATTTCTTTTTTGTTTACATGGTTGTTTTGTTCTTCTAGGGAGTGCTTTTGGGAGTAGCCGTAGCGTCAAGATCGAGAACGACAATTTTTGGAAACCAGACGAAGAAGGCAATTTTCGCGTTGACCTCATCGGCTCGAAGAGGAGCAACTTAAGGCATCCGTCGGTACTTGGCGGCGATCTGTCGAAGCGCGTGCTGACGGCTGCCCCCCTAGGCGTTTTGCCCTATCTCGACGGACAAGTGAACAATTTACACAACATGTACCAGCGAAACGAGTTGCCGATGAACGCAATCGCGTCCGTCGGTCAACAGTTTCTTTCTAAACACCGCATCGTGCACCTCGACTTGAAGGGCGCAGCACCAAAGCTGCACTTCATCAAAGAGTTCTTCCGGTTCATCGCCCGCTTTAACGCCACCGGAGTGCTCATCGAATGGGAGAACATGTTTCCGTTCAAAGGTGAGTTGGCGGTGGTTCGCAGCAAGGATGCGTACTCAGAAGCCGATGTGCGGCAGATGCAGCAGTGGGCAAGCGATTTTCGGCTCGAAATCATACCTCTCGTACAGACAGTGGGGCATCTCGAATGGATTCTCAAGCATCCGACGTTCAGGCAGCTCCGTGAGGACGACCGTTATCCGCAGGTGATCTGCCTGTCGAATCCACAGGCCATGCGACTCGTCAAGATGGCCATCGACCAGGTGATGGACCTGCAGAGCGACGTCATCACCTACTTTCACATAGGCGCTGATGAAGCTTTTCAAGTAAGAGCTAACTGTTCGTACGAGACCGACCGATCGACCGCAGTCTTCAACGCTGTAATTGTTCGTTTAGCTTGGCGAATGCAAACGATGTCAAGATACCATGGGTAGACTGAAACTTGATCCGAGCCGTCTCATGCTGCGACATATAAAGGACATTGCGGACTACGTTAAAGTAAAATACAATAAAAAGATACTGATGTGGCACGACATGCTACAAAACATCGACCCATCGGTAATGAAGGAGTATAACCTGGGCAATCTCGTCGAACCAGTGGTATGGGCATATGCCGAGTCGCTGGACGAGTATTTGCTTCCCGAAGTTTGGAGTCACTTTCGTGAAGTGTTTCCGTTCATATGGGGTGCGTCCGCTTTCAAAGGGGCTGACGGTGCCAACCGGTAATGAAGCATTTGCTTTTTGTGGTTGATTAATTGTTTTGCTTATATTGTTTAGGTATCATTCGAATATAGTACATTATCTGCAGAATCATATTTCATGGATTTCGCAGATGAACCGCGAACATTCCAAATTCGAAGAATTCCGGGGCATTTTTTTGACCGGGTGGCAACGTTACGATCACTTTGGTGTTCTGTGTGAATTGTTAGTCGTTGGAATGCCATCTCTGGCCGTCAATCTGCTTACCCTGCAAAGGGGTTTCTATGATTCTCGTATCGACGTGGAAATCGGCAAGTTGTTGAATTGCAAGACGCCATTCCGGGTCAGCGAAACCGTTAACGACTGCGATTTCCCCGGCTCCACCATTTACTATAATATCCAAGCGTTCTACATCACTCAATCCAGGCTGACCGAGGACCTTTACGAAGACCATGCAAGGCGCGGTTGGCTGGGCCAGATGAACCTCTATTATAATTACAGTTCTCCGTGGTATTTGAACCAGTTGTTGGACAAGTCTCGTGGCTACGTTTCTGCCTTGAAGGAAAACGCCAATGGGCTGGAGGCCAGTCTGCCAACCGTGTATTTTCCGGACACCGTCACCGAGTTTATGTTCGAGTACATTGACCCGGTACTGAACCGGCTTTATAAGATGGTCAACGCCGCTAAGCGAATTTGTGACATGGCCGTTTTTCCAGCGAACCTTCCCAAAATCGTCCGAACTAAAGAACCGTACCCGTTCGGTGATGACGGCGGTGATATCGCCCATATCGTCCCAATGTAACCGTATTGCAAGTGTTGACTGACAACTGATATCTATTTGTGCAGTGATAAAATTTGGTGCTGAACGGAGATGGTGCGGTTGTTTTGGAGACTAGATTGATGACAACGGTTGTAGCTTTATTTTCTTCTTCCTCGACTGTGTACATATGATTTCAATTGTCGTTGTGTCGCCTAAAAAAATGTCTTTCTTTTACGACTTTGATGTACGCCAAAAAATGTTATGCTTGTGTTGTTTGAACGTTTTGCTTGGCCGTGAATTCTGAAATATGATTTCGATGTGTCACTTGCTCATCAAGCAATTCGTACTGCAAATGGTACGGTTTCTTTAAAACCACTTATCGTTGCATAAATTATGCTAACTTCTGAACACTGTGAATATGATGTTTTAGGACACATAAATTTCTCTCGCAAATAAATGAAGATTTATTTGAAGATTAAATTTCGTTAATTAATGAAGAGGTAGTACCAGAATCAAGGAACGTTTCGTTTTTAGAAATACAGTGGCTGAGAACAACATAAAGCACGGTTTATTTATGCACAAATCAATGCAGCTTAGTCAGAAGAATGGCGAGTATCAACGTTTCGGCCAGAATTTCAGCCTTTTTTCAACGTAAAGGGTAAAGGTTATTTCATGTTATTTGCAACCGTTCGCGTTCTGCTGAGTAAGTGGTGTTTTAGTGATAGCTTATCCAGTGGATGTTTGGGGGAGCAGGTTGAGGCGTGTTTTGTGGATATAACGGTGGGTAGCACAGCTAAGGTACTTTTCTGTGTACGACAAGGTATTAGAGACCGCGTAACGGTAAGTACGTTCACCTAGTTTAAAATAAGCCATTTTTGCCATCCATGTACCTCGTGTGACGGGAATGAACCGTCTGTGAAGTGGGCCTTTCTGATCTGAGGTCCACATACTTTATGTTGTCGAGTCGGAAGCAGTCGCACTCAGAGTCTTATTGAAGAATTTTAGCTGTTTGCGCGCGTCAATCCAAAAGTTATTAACGGTTGGCACGTGGTTTTGCGCCTTATCCCTGGAATTTCGATAGCAGGAAATCTGATTCTGGATGATGCCTTGCAGTGAGAGGTGCAGTTAGCCAACACGTGCCCCTTCAACACCTTTCCTGCAGCCGAGGCTCCCTCTTTCAATAAATAAAGTGCTAAAGTAACCCGAAGGATGCGACTGTCAGTGTGTACCGCTGGGACACCAATCCTCATTCTTGGCGTCCCGTGTCCCCCTGCAGCCAGTGACGACGCTATGGACGGAACATGTAAACATTCCTTGACGAGGTTCCATAATGAAACTATTATACTGACCCAAGCTTTATTTTGTGTTACCTCTGTGCATGTTCTTGAGTGCATATGACTTATGAATGGCAGGATGTTGTATACGCGCTCAGTGTCTGCCAGTCAGCCCATTGGCTCCTAAATGTACGCTATAAACAATATAATGCGCTTTCCAATAGAATGTTATCTACGTTAATATTGTATACCCTGGTTTCGTTTCAACGTAGGGAGCAGCCTCAAATTTAGCTAGAGGGATAGGGATATTAAAGATTATAATTTTATACGAGGAGTAAAAAAATTTTTTGATGTAGATTTAAGAGTTACTTTACTCTTTAAGCGCTTAAAGATTTTTGCGAAGGCTGTTTGTTAACTTGTTGGATTGGTTTAATATTCCCTGGAGGCTGTGACATTCTTGCAAAAGCAACTAATTCATCAGCTTGTACAAGAACTACTGTGGAGGGGCAACGAACAAGATAAATTATGCACTTCTCGACAAACACTAATATCAGGCCACAATTCCGAAATGGCGGGCAGCAAGCCGCCTCATAAATATCATAATATAACATATTGCATGGAGTGCTAGACTAATACAAGACCATAGCTCACACATCACTATCGTCAGCCTTTTCCCAACCAGTGCTGGATGAGGGCCTCTTTTAGGCTTTCGTTCAAGATTTCTGTTTTCTACTATTCTCATCCTGCCGTTCGTCTAAAGATTTTCCTATGAGCCGTTTATTGCGTCTTTGTTTACTACGAACAGTCTAAATTCTCTTTGGTCCAGCGATAATCTGTTTTCTTGCCATATGTGTTGCCCATTGTCATTTTTACGTGGACTCGCGCACTGACATGGCAGATTCTTATTTGTGCTCTTACCCATCCATTCGGCTTACTGTCATTTCCAACGTGCCAAATAAACACCTAATTGACGATCCGACAAGAATTCTGCCCGGGTTACATTTAGTTGTAAACAATGGGCAACTTTGAACCCCCTGCACAAGTGGTGATCCAAGAAAACTCTAGGGTGCGACTGCGGCTACCCAAACCAATCAGCTGACCATCAAGAAACTTCGAGAAAGGAATCGTTACGTTGCATATGCGGGCAACCAGTTCCACCGGATCCACCGCCTGGCTGTGCAAATTCGGTCTCGACTTATAGCCGTTTTTGCCGTGCGCAAGAAGATCATCTTTCCCAGTTATGACCAGCAGAGGCTTTTTCATGCAATTTTACATAATCTGAAATTATGAATTGTTTGCAGACATATTTTCCACGTTTCGCACCCAAGGCTTAGCACTTGAGCACACCCTCGTCGAAAACTTTCCATTACAAGCCTAAAAACAGCTTCCCGAACAGGCACACTTAAGTCTTCGAAAAATTGTTCTTGTTATTTTTATTCATCTGCTGATTCCCCGTGGTCGGTTCTCCGTTTCGGAGATGAGCTATTCCAAATAGACGTTGTTTAGCACGCTTTTTCAAGCCGAAGTACGTTGGCTTCAACAGGTCGCTGCCATGCGTTTGTTAAGCATAACCTGAGTCTTCTACAGGTTTATTTCCGGTCCTCTTTGATGCCGAGTCGTTCAGCTTTCGGATTCTTCGTTGGAGTTTTTCTGACGATGTAGTTATAGTTATGGTGTCGTTTCTCTAGAGGGAACTTCACTGATACCATAAAAGCTCTACCTGCTTTGATTAACAGAAACTCGTACCAACCATTCTCTGTTTGGTTCTCCGCAGTAACCTCTTTTAATCGTTGCTCATCGACTGCAAATGACGTTGAAACAGATTGAATTATTTCTAGGATTCTGTAGTGTTTAGAATCATAATTACCGATTCTTAACAAATGGTTTCTCCAAGGCCAGATTTCACTGAGTATTTCGCTTCCTGCTTGTTCCTAGTCGCCAAGCGGGTTAGACTCAAAGGTATTTAAGTAACTACAGTGCCGCGTACATCCCGTTTCGTCTCTCATCTAGCATTTAAATTTGCCATTGTCGACGGTGTGGAAAGCGTCATTGGCAGATCGAGGGCATCGTCGTCACTCAGTGACTGGCACCAACCAAATAATGGAACTCATGAAACTAATTTTCATCAGTAAATGACAGGATGTCAACATTTTTTATTGGCCTTATCGAACGACATCAGTGATGCATCTCGTCGTGCCAAATTTCATAATTTTTTTCATCTTAAGACGCAATAATCGAGGATGGTACAGCGAAACAATCTGCCCTAGAAATTTACTCTGTTCACGCGCCTAGTCTCACATATAATCAAGACTGATGTACGCTGATCGAGCGATTACCTAGCATTGGCTGTTGCCAATGTGACCATGTTTGACATTGCTATGACTGTTCGAAATGGGATATTCGAGAAACAATGGTTCTTTAGCCACTTTTCCCTTAATTCAACTATTTTCGTTGTTCGTCGTCTTCTGACAGGTAATTAGAATACCACGCGAAGTAGGTAAAAAAGGTTTTATGCTACAGTACGTACCAACAGATCTGGGGAATTACACAACGCATAACCTCGACAGTGTTTCTAAGCCACATTTCATGAGCATGAAATCTTACAATCTGAATGAAGCTGTTTTTATCCTCGTTTTCTTCTTTCTTTCTCCCAGATATGCTGCAGGACTGTTCACATTTCTCCTTTCATTTGGTATGGCCTAATGGCTGAGTTGCGTTAAATAAATGATGTCGATTTTGCTTGTAGTCAACTCACAGAAGCCTGTTGTAGTAGTGCAAACTGTATGGCTCGGTCTACTGAAGAAATACTCTAAAGATTCTGCCGCTTTATTAGAAGCAATGGCGGTCTCTGACAGTAAACAAGGACATAATTTCATTTTTGCCTCAGTATTGCATGGCACGTAGTGCAAAACGTAGCGAAACTGCTGATTATTAATTATGCAAGAGACGTTGTGCGTCATGGTCGATTCAACTGACACTTGTCGCTTTCTGATTGGCCGATGGTCTGCGTATCCGACGACAAGCAAGGTAAAGGTAACGAATGAGCTCCATCCAGTATCAATTGTGTATGAATTGAGTCTTTTAGTGACACGTCAAAACCCAATGAATTATCTGTCCAAAGTTCCAGCTATGTCGTTCTCTTATTTATGAATTGGTAGCACCTGGAGTATCATGATGGACCATGAATTCCGTCGTTGGGTAAGGATTTTATTAATAGCGTGATAATCATATGCTCGATTACTTTCTGGTCTAAAATTAAACTCGCTTTATTGTCTACAAAGAATTGTTTCTGCTGTTACTGTTGTATTCTTAATCATTTAAGGCTAATGAGACTTGAGCGGCCAGACATTTTTCATGTCTGACTGTTTGAATTGAAAATCTGTCACAGATTAGCTATTTTAAAGAAACATGACGCCGTGAAAGACATGAAGGACAATTGAAAGCTTTTATTTGACATGCTTACAGGCGATGATTGCTATTTTGATTGGACGAAGTTTCATAAGCCACGTAACTCACCATGTCCCATAATTTTTTTATGGATGGAGTCTCCAGTCACAAACTGGTCTAATCAAAACAAGAATATTCGCGTTTCAACATTTCAGTTCAACTTTCCCATCGTTATGTCACAAACTAATACTTTAAGGCAACTTTCGCTGATGCACAGAAAATGCCATTATCTTCGTCGAAAGTAGGGCTTCTTCAACGAGACATTTTCAAGTTTTGAATTGCATACCGACCCAACTACGAACAGTCGTTGATTCCCACGAGACAAAGTTTGGAACATATTTTCATGAACGTTTTGCGGCTTTTTTTATTAAAAAATCAAGCCATGTCCTAATCTCTGACCTCATCTGATAGTTCCCCCATTTTAAGGTATTTAGCACCTACTCATTTATGACTAGTTGATATCATCGCATTTTTTAGTAGTTTGTGGCTGGCGTT